GGATCTCTGTGAGTTCGAGGCCAGCCTGGGCTACCAAGTGAGTTCCAGGAAAGGCACAAAGCCACACAGAGAAACCCTGCCTCGAAACTCCCCACCAAAAAAAGTAAACCTTTTAAGTGGCTCTTTATAAATTATAACTGACTTTCTCTTTAAATTCTTCTATAAAAACCAGTTACACACAGTAAGTAAGCAAGAAGTAAGTTCCAAGTTGTAATAAAAAAAATAACATTTATAAATGTGAAAAACATTTTAAGAATTTGTATGTTACCATGTCATAGTAAAAAAAAAAACAACTCCCCACTCCTGCCTCACCCTTTGCTTGCAGTAACTGTGCAAATAAACACTGTTTCAGCCAAAACCAGGGGAAGACTTATATACAGTGTGCAGAATGAAACATGGATGACTGCATATGTAAAAAGTGCTCACTGGAATAGGCAAGTTTAACCACCAGGAAGATACCCCTTGTAGAGTGAAGCCCGCGCAGACAGATGCTCTTATGCACCAGTGCTGGTGCTGCTGAGTACAGTCCCTCTGGAGACTGCCTGGGATTGTCTAGAAAGCTATTGTGAATATGTTGAAAGAAACATGAACATAATGGAAATAAAGCCTTACTAACAAAGGATTGAATATCTGAAACTTTTTGAGCATCGTGTTGGTGTCCAAATAGTCACACTTGGACTAGGAGTGCATCTCCGTGTGGAACTCCTGCCAGACATATACGAGCCTCAATTCCATCTCTAGTCTGAAATGGGGGGATGGAAAAACAAAACAAACAAACAAAAAAAAATGATACCCATAAAGATCTACATTTTTCTGATTAGGAATGCTCACCTAGAAGTCTGTAAATTCAAAAAAATGAAGAAAATTTGAAATCTAGCACACTTGTCCCAAGCATGGATATGGCAAATAGCCTAAGATTCTGGGATTTGGGCATCATATTTATAAACAGTGGCTTTCCTTTTTATTTTTTAATAATATTTCTGAGGGAACTTGCAAACTTTATTCTGGTTCTGTGTATCAATCTTTTTATTATTAATTCATTCTGGGTACTAATTTTTTTAAAATTTTCCTTTTGTGGTCATTGTGATAATGTAAAATAAATATTTGGGTTTTGTTGGTTTCCAAACACACAGCACCTAGAACCTTTAGACTCTCTGAAGGATGTTATCATTGTGTTGCTTGGCTTCAGTATGTGGATGGCCACTGGAAAGATACAGGCAGTGTGATCCCCAACGCTAAGCTCCCAGAAGTGAAGGGGATGATGGTTAAATTGATCACCAATGACCAGAGCTGATAATGCCTACATAATACAGTTTTGTAGTGATATTTAAGGAGGTGGTGCTTCCTGCCATTGTATATGACCTCTTATAAGAAGTTGGAGAAGGGTCACATGCCCCATCTCCCTGCTCCTGCCTGCGAGGTGGATTCGCTCCTGGTCAGATCAGAGGACAACTTCTGCTGTCTACTCCGACCTGTCTTCATGACTATGTTTCCTCAATTTATATCTTAATAAATTCTGTTGCCCATTTAATAGACTCACATGGATTGATCATAATAAGTAGCGCCCACATTACAAAAAGACCCCACACTCCCTGTAGCTCCTGCTTGCATCGTCTGGGGCAGCAGCAGCAGGTTGGCTCAGAGGCTTGTGTACTTGCTGCAGGAACTTTCTTTGTGGGTAGAGTTTTTATACCAATTCAGTATGATTGTTTTAAGATGTGGCAGAGCCTGTTCTCACCAACAGCCCAGGCTCTCCTGAGTTGATTTTGGGCCACAGTGTGTGAGAAACTGAGGTGTGTCCTGGCAGGACCAGACAGAGGAAGAGCCAGCTGCTGAGCCACTTCAGTAGTTGTCCTAATGGACCTTGGTGTAGCAGGAATCTTAGAAGTTCTTACTAATAAAATCAAACCCGGAGCCAGGTATTGGGGTGAACTGGAAGATCAGAGAGACAACAAGCCACAGCTAACCTCACCTGGCCAACTTCTCAGCTGGTCTTGTTTCCTCAGACTGGATGCTTCTGTGTCCTCATCCCAATGGCTCTCAGCTGAACTGTGCTGCTAGAAGCCTGAAAGCTTAATCAGCCGAGTGCCTAACCAGTCAAATGCTGCTAGTTACTGGTCCTCATGCCTTATGTACCTTTCTGCCTTCTGCCATCACTCCCTGAGATTAAAGACTCACTCCCTGGGATTAAAGGTGTGTGTCACCATGCCTGGCCATTTCCGATGTGGCCTTGAACTCACAGAGATCCAGAGGGATTTCTACCTCTGGAGTGCTAGGATTAAAGGTGTGAGTGCCACCATTTTCTAGCTTTGTCTCTAGTGGCTGTTCTGTCTCTGACCCCAGATAAATTTATTAGGGTACACAATATTTTGGGGAACACAATGCCACCACACCTTGGTCTCAGCCTCACAAGGTCAGAAAGATTCTCCCACCCAAGCCCTGCATTGGCCCAGGTAGATTTTGTGTTCAGGGCAGTGAGTGAAGAACTTTGAGGCTTTGGGGCTTTCAGCTGTGTTCTGTAGCTCCTAACCCCCAAGTCAGGAGTTGTATAATAACTGTCTATTTCTGTTTGAGTTTTGTAAGTCCTGTATGTCTATGAATTAATTTATATTGCTTTGGTTTTCAGATTTTTTTCACATAAAACTGATAATCTTTTATTAGTGCTTTAACAGCTTCAGTATTTGAAGTTGTACCAATGTGTAGACATGTTGTGACACTTGAGCTTTTAAATAAGAAGACCTCACTATCTGGGTAAGAAGATAGCCTCTGGCCATTGGCTCTACCTCAGCTTCCACACCACAGACATGCTCATCAAGCCAGTGAACAAGTAGGCCTGGTGTTCCCATCTTCAGTGAGTCACTGGTGGGTGAACTCTAGAGCACTCATTCTGTCCTTTACCTTTTCAGCATGTATCTGCTGAACCAGCTTCCTGTCTGTCCTTCCTCCTGATGCCAGCTGTGGCATTAGACATTTCCCAAAATTACAAATGTATTTGGGTTTATTGTTTTATCAGTTTTCCTGTTTTGTATTTCTTTGCTTTTGTTCTATCTGCCATTTCATTTTGTATATTTGTTCTAGTGTGATTTTTTTTTTTTTTCTGGCTCCAGTATTGTCATTTTTTGTTTGTTTTGTTGATGGTTGGTTTTTCTGGTCTTTTTGTTTTGTTTTGTTCTGTTTTGAGACACAGTCCTGACTATGTAGCCTTGGCTGGCCTGGAGCTTACCATGTAGACCAGGCTGACCTTGAACTCACAGAGATCCTCTAGCCTCTGCCTTCTGAGTACTGGGATTAGAGACGTGCACCACCACTCCTGGCCACTTTTAGATTGTGTCTTTTCAGCTTCTCTACCCCTGCTCATCAGGAAGCTGGTCAGTACTCTGGATACCTCCCAGGTACACCAGAGCCTGTGAGCACGAGCCTCTCTTTTCACCTTTGGGTTTTTGTGTGATTGTTCCCAAATATCTTAATGAAATATTTTTAGTTTCACAAAATATTTGCATAGCTACTATTAATCTGAAGCCACCTGCCTGCTTATTCTCTTTATTTTACTTTATGTCAAAGACATTTCCTTGTGATCACTTTCTGCATTTATTTTATTTTATTTTATTTTTTTGTCTACTGGTTGCAAATTATTACATTTCTAAAAAACCTTTTTTTTCCCTCCTCTTAGCAGCAATCTTCCTGGACTAGTATTTGAGGTTGACCTGAATTTTACTCATCAGATTGATGATGTGCCACCTTTGGAGTGCTGGTATGCAAGTTTATGGGTCCGCCTTAAGTCTGGACCTCACCTAAGGGCCAGACCTGGCCTTGAATCTGACAGATGGCTGGTGTATGTGCCCTTGAAGTCCTGCCTAAGCTAGGAAGCAGAAAGCCCCTTGAGTAAGAGTAACATGAGGCTCTCTGCTGGTGAGCTTTGCTGAAGGAAAGACTCTAGGCACCTCCATGTTAGTACCCAGGTATCAAGGCCCTGCTGGGCAGAGGATGTGACAACTAGTATAGATAGCATATACTTTGAGGAAAATAGATATCCACATTTTAACACCTTTATTCATCACTTTACCAACTTGACACACAATGTTAATAACAGCAAACACAATGAACAAAATGTTGATAGACACAAGCTGTTTCACTAAAGCAATACGAGCCAGGCCATGATGATACGTCCAACAGGTGACTAGATGCCTTGCACTCTATAGGAGGGACAGGAGGGCCATCCTGACCTGACAGACATTCTGAGCAAGTGTAGTTTAGATGTCAGCATAAGTGCCTTTCTGAGTCAGAACACCCATGACATCAACATTACCCATCACACTGATAAAGTGATATACTCCATATTCCCTAACATTAATAAAATAGTGTAAAAATATATATCACATATATATATAAACTTAACTCCCTTTCTTGAAAAAAACTTAGTACAAACTAGTAGTAGTAGCATATTATTCCTTTCAAGTTTAAGTTGTACAGGCTTCCTTTGTTGTTTGGCTTGGTTTAGTTTAAGAGGTCTAAAGGAAGAGATAATTTAAGCGTCCCAAGATGGCCACACCCCTGAACTGTCAAGTTCAGAATGGTCAGTAGTATGTTGGTGAAAAAGAGCAGTTTGGCTCAGTGTTGGAAGGATATTCTGTCTTCACAGTACAGCTAAATTGTCACCCTTGCCATTTTAAAAGGTGTTGGCGGGGCTTTCCCAATGTGCCCATGCTGTAGCCAGGTAGTATACAAGTCTGCAGATGGAGAGAGAGCCAGGCAGACAGACAGGCAGTTTTCCCTGAAAGGGCACAGGTGGCAAATGTCATAGGTGTCTGTGCCATGGCATTTGTCTGAATCCTCTCAGCCAGTTCTAGTGCCAGAGCAGCTACAGAACAGTTTGTAAACACCTGGGTACAGCCTTGTGCTAGTAAAACAATTCATTAAAACGAACCGGAGCACCCAGGGCCTCTGGGAGTGGGAAGGGTGAGTCTTGGCCCAGGGCAGGCACCTGTCATCTCCCAGGAAGAGACTGCAGGAAAGTGGCAGAGGCTGCTGTGCAGCCCACTTAGAACTCTCTCCATCTGTCATAATGTCCCTATGCCCCTGTGCAAGATAGGATACTGAGAGGTGTAAAAATACTCCAGTATAAATATAGACTTTCAACAATATTTAAACATGTAATTTGAACTTTGATTTTTGGTAAAACATTCCCACTAACTAGTTGCTTATCTTATAGCATTAAATAGAAATAAATAAGAATTCTACTAGAGTCAGTGTTCTCAAACACCCTACCTACCTACCTTCCTTCCCTGACACTTAAGATCTTATCTACATTGTTCTTCCTGCAACCTGTACCTTTCTCCTGAATGTCACCTCCAACAGAATGTGTCCCTGTATATAACACCCCCACACAGAGCATGTCCTGAGTGTCACCCCAACAGAACATGTCCTGAGTGCCACCTGCAACAGAACTTCTCTGTCACTACAACCCATGTCCCTGAGTGTTGCCCCTGACAGAACCTCTCCTTATTTTCTACTGTCACACCTTAATAGAACCTGTCTTTGTCTCCTGAGTGTCTTCCCCTGATAAGAATGTGTCTTTTTTGTCTCCTGGGTATCAGCCCACAACAGAGTATGTCTCTGTCTCCTGGGTATCCCCTCCAGAAAAAAAAATGTCATGTCCTGGTTGTCATCACCTGAGAGAACCTGTCCCTGTCTCTTGTATGTCTATCCTATCACCTAATAGCGCATGGCTCTGGGTCTCGGTTTACGTGCTATGCAGGGTTTTGTTTTGTTTTTTAATTCACAGATAGATACTGAATTCTGTTTATCCATGATTAGTAAAAGCTAATTGGTATCGCATAAAACATGCAACAGAGACAAACACCCTACCTGTGTGTTCAAATCAGAAACTGAGGGAAATGCACATCTGTTTTGTGCAGAAGAGTTGGAGTCCAACCAGTTTCTGTGTTGAGAGGGTACACAGATGCCACAATGAATTCCATAGACACTTTAAACTGACAGTATGGAGACACTAAGTCTTGGTGATCTAATTGTTACTACCCTTTCCTTGCTAGATGATGTATCATCTAGAGGGATGGTGTATTTTCAAAGTTAAACTTAACACTGACTAAAGGAAGGTGATGTGTGAGGGAACTCAGGGAGTAAGAAGGGACACAATGAAGACCACTTGTCTGGCATACTTCTGGGTGCTGCTGAGGGACTACATGGGAGGGGCTAGGACTGTCCCTCCGGAGCCCACGGTTGTTCAGGTTCTGTGCTAGGACAGCGGGGACCAGCAAAGCAGTGGCCCAGTTTTCATTTACAGAGCCCAAGTTGTGTTAGAGCAAAAGCTCCCATCTCACACTGATGGGACACCTGCCCAGGCCTGGTCTGGACCAAATGCTTTCTGAAGTTTTTATCTTCTCCTGCTGAGGCTTTTACCTGTGGGAGCTGAGATAGCAGTTCTGGCCCTCTGCTGCCCAGAACCTATATGGGCTCACCACTCTGAGCTGTTCTGTTCAATCTCCAGCACATGGGCAAGGTGGCCAGTTGATAATGAAGCTTCTCCATGAGGCTGGGTGACCATGAAGGTGGACACTTAAATTGTTTCCTCGATGCTCATAGGCAACCCTGTTTTCTTGGTGCTCCCAGGCAGCTAACCCTGGACTTTGCCTGGGTCTTCATCTGGACATCAATCTTGCATCTTGGCCCTTTGAATGGGAGACTGTGTCCAGGGTCCTCAGACTACTATGGGGTCAGGGACACATCTGCCCCACTGCCTTATATGGGGACTCGCAGACACCACCCTAGCCTGCCCTGGCCCATATGCAGTCACCTCCTGATGAATTTGTGTGTGTTCCATTTCACTCAGCTATGATGGTAGCAACTGGGCTGTTCATAGGCAGTAGAAAAGAACAGCATCAGACCAAGAGACTGCCAGCCACATGGGGACTAGGGGTTCTGGAGGAGAGTATGAGAAATGCCAGTGTCCTTTTTGTTTCTCCAGACCAGCGAGGTCAGATTTCAGAACAGAGGCTCCACTACTTGGCTTTGAATGCCAGGTACTGCAGACTCTCAGAACCTTGGGAAGAAGCTGACTACAGGACCATCCCCATCCTCCAGTTGTAGCTGTGTTGAGGGGCTTGGTAACTTTGGACCTTCAGAGGGCCTTGTGGGAGGAGGTCTGGTATTGAGGCCCCTGCTTTTCTCTCTCAGGCTAGTAGGCAGTCTTCTCTCATGCTGCAGTGAAGATATGCTCTCTGGGCACCAGAGGAGTAGATAATGTTACTATGTGCTATGGCAATGAGGAAGACAGCCTTGCTGTCTACCTTTGCTGTGCCAAGGCATGTAAGATGTCCCACCCTCAACAACTACCTGCTCTGGGAGCCATGTCCTGAGACCACTGTGGGTTCTTTCTAGGAACAAGAACACATAGTCCAGCAAGTTGCATGCAAAGAAACAATTGCTGTGGGGCTGTAATGATGGCAGCACATGCCTTTGGGCCTGCCTAAGTGGCGCCCTTACATGTGGATGAGCTGAGTCATGTGTTCTCTCCTATGGCAGTAAAAGAAACCCTAGTAGATGCTGCAAGTCTTTTTTTTTTTTTTTGGGGGGGGGGGAGGGTTAGTTCTGGTGTCCAGGGCCCTGCACTTGCACTTGAGAGAAAAATTAGGAAATTGAACTTCGAGGTGGCTTCATAGAGCTGAAAACACATACTTTTGAGCAAAGCACAGCATAACTTGCCCTGGCAGAAGCTCCCATCTCACACTGGTGGAGTAACTGCCCAGGCTTGGTCTGGATCGAAAGTCTCAGCATCATGTGTGTCCCAACCTGGTGATGGGATAGAGCAAGGAGAAGTCTTGGCAGCTTCATGTTCTGGATCTCCCTGGACCACTCTTGAAACCAAGCACATAGTCTTGCCATTTCTTAGACCAGCACTGAAAAAACTTCCAGCTTCGTGCTCCAAGTCACTCCCCCGGTAACCAGAGGGCTTCCATTGTCTCTTGGCCACTCTCAGCACAGACTTGGTTGATGAGCATGAGTCGTGTGTGTGTGTGTGTGTGTGTGTGTGTGTGTGTGTGTGTGTGTGTGTGTGTGTGTGTACATGTGTACTGATGTGAGCTGTTACACACACACACTGGCACAACAACCAGATAGCCTCAGTCTTGTCCTGTGGTCAGGAAAGATGCAGTTGGTTAGTTCCTTAGCTCCTACTGCCCTAGAAGTGCCTGGATAAGTCAGTGAGTTCTGATGTCTGCTTTGCTCATCCTTATAACTACCAGCACTCAAAACACCCCTTTTTACCTGCAGATCAAGTGGCCAGTGTGGTATGATCCTGGGAGACAGTTTGGAAGTAGCAGTCCACTTCCCAGCTATGGACAGGGCAGGTATGTTAGGAAAGGACAATGAATGATGGCCCAAACCTGGGGTCTGAGAGAGAAGTGTCAAAGCACCCAGCAGGAGGAGGCCTGGGCATTGCCCCTACCATTGCCTAGTGGAGGTGCATTTTGAGTTCTGCCCAGTTGAACATAGGAATGTAATGAAGTGCAATGGGTGTAAGTCCTGTGCCTGGCTCCTGCAGCGCAGAGCTTCGGCCTGAAGGCTACTTGCCCCCCTGCACCTTCTGGTCATAGGTGCCTGCATGCTTGTAGCCAGGCACATAACCTGACTCATCCACCAGGTCCACGCGGCCAGCTTTGCCCTTGCCCTTTCCTGATTGGTCAAAGCGTTCTTTGTGGGAGCCTGTGAACTTGGTTGTGTCTGTGAGCCGTGACACTGTAGGTGAAGACACAGCTTTCTGAAAGAGAACAGAAGAGGGTGTTATCACAAGCCAAGTGAGGGGCTGGGTAAAAACTGCCACCATCTATTGTAGCATTTCAGTGGGAGGTAGCGGGGGCTGTGGGAGGAGCTGGCAAGGAATGTGAGTCTGCTAGGCCACATGTCCAGACAAGAGATTACCTCTCCTGGCTCCAGGTTAGCCCCAGACTTATGGGGCTAACCAGTCAACTGGGCCATGGTCTCCCCAAGGGCAGATGCAATCAAGAGCACTAAGCCCCACCCTTGCCTCACCCCCTCACCGTGACACCGGAGATGACTGGCGCTCGTCCCTCGATGAGCCGGTGCACCTCACGCACAGCCTCCTCGCTGCTCTTGTCCTTGAACCGCTTCTTGGCCAGCTCCTCCAGTGCCTCCTGGAACTGCTCAAAGGTGATGGTCCTGCAGGACTTCCCTCTGTGGGTGATAAGCCTTATAAGTCCCCAGGTAGCGGTCCTCTGGGGCCAGCCCACGTGTACACCATCCCTCCCTTCCTTCTGCAGTGATCCCTACTGGTCACAGGCAAAAACCACCAGCAACTGCCTGCAGCCTGGAAAGAATGAAGGAAGCATATTCTTTAAGAACTGTTCCACAACAGGAAGTGTGGTCTCTCCTGGGTGGGAGGGCAGAGGAAAAACCAGGAAAGAAGATCCCTTTATCTCCAGGAACACCCTAGCCAGTCAAGGAGCAGGAGGGAGCCCAGGCCTAAACCCGGGTCAGAAGTGGCTCAGGAGGGGCCTAAGATTCTGATTATCAAAGTAAGCAAGATTAGGAGGAGCCATAACACCTGTCCCTATCAGGATCCTAAGCTGGAGCGGTGATGAGCAGCCTGGTCAGCAGGATGGGGCTTAAAGCTGATGCTCTCACCTACTGTGTTTACCCCGCCATCAGGGAGCATCCCAGATACTGTCATTTCACAAAATCCTTCCTCCAAGGCTGCTCAGGTAGTATTTTTAAAAGTTATGAAATTATTTGTAGTAATTTTTACTTTAAACCATTTCAACTTGGCATTCACCCCCCAACTAATCCAGATGAGTGAAGTTTTCAAAGTTTTGACATAATGTGAATGAGGCACAAGCCTGCAAGTCCTGCATGTTGCTGGGGAGCTTAGTCAAATGGCCTGAGATAAGCTGTTATGGCCAGGCTTGCCACTAACCCCAGCTGCCATGCTGAGAGTTCAGGACTTTAATACAGCTGACTGACAAAATCCCAGTGGGGCTCTTATGGCTGCCCATCAGCACAGGATCCAAAGCAGCCAAGATGAGTTTAAGAAAACAAACAGTTGCAGGCCTGAGACCACACTATTCCAATACACTTTATAAAAAGACAGTATGCAAGATACAAGGTCTGAGACATACAGATCAGTGTATCTGGAGTCTAGAAATGTCCACACAGATACCTAACTTGAGCAGGGTCAAGGAGAAAGGAACATTTCAAAAAATAACTAGAACAGCTGCTACCTCTTCAAAATAAACCAACTAGGATCCACAGATGATACCACATGCAGAGTTTACTCAGCATGACCCCAGAGCTAACTTTTGTAAGTACATTTAGTAGATAACCTGGGTGACCTTAGGGTGGGCAAGGTTTTCTTAGAAATGATGCCAGATCATCATGTTCAATAATAGAAAATGGGAAGACTGAACTTCAGAATATTAAAAACCATGCTCTTTCAAATAGCATTGAAGATAAATACCACAGAGCTGCAAAAAATACTAGGACACACAAACTTGAAAAGGAGCTTGTATCTGAAATGTGCCAAGAACTTAAGAGTAAGAAAAGAAAATTTCAAATGGGCCAAGTATTTGGGCCAGAAACCTCACCAAAGAAAACCCATGGATAGGGAGCCAGCACACACAGGAAGTCACCCATGGGAACAGCAGAAGTAATGAGGGTAATGTCTGCTGCATGATAAGGAGGAATGACCATGAGCCAGTCTTTTTGGGAGGGAGGAGAGGGTGCTTGAAGAGAAATGAAGATTTAAGCTCATGTTAAACCCATGTGTGAATATTGTACAGATTTTCTTCAGTCATTCAAACTTGAAAACCACCCAAATGCCCTTTAGCAGTGGCCTGATAAAACATTCTGTGGACAACATTGTGAGGATACACAGTGACAACATAACAAAGTGGACCCCTAGTAGTTGGGCAAAGGAACCAGACCTGAAAATACTACTGTTCCCACACACCCTGAACTTTTACTGATGTCTAAAAGAGTCTCAAACTTTACACTTGTCTCAAACACAAACGAGAGCTGAGCCAAACATCCTTTGAGAAATGCACAGAACCCCATGGTGTGGGCCACCTCTACTTCTCAGGAGACTGGGGAAGCCACTGGGGTATTACATTTAGATCAAAAATACAACATAGGAGCTAGAGCCTCACAGTGGGACTGTGTGACACTAGAACATTGTAGAACTACCTGTGATACAGGTAATGGAACCTCAGTAGATGCCTTGTGTCTTAGAGGGTATATTCTAGTCCATCAGTGCTCTCAGCCCCAACACTTACCAGCTACCTTTGGAATACTGGGTGATCCAGGGCACTTGAGCAGCTTGGCCTCATAGTCCAGTGGTGCCTGGGGCTGACAGCTTTTCCCTCTCTACTAGGACCTGGGGGGGGGGGGGTGTTGATCTAAGGTCCCTTGGGGCTGCTCTGTTTGTCCTGAGAAGTCAATGGCACTCTTGTCTCCTACTCACAACCCTTCCTGGGCTGACATGAGGATGCCAGGCCTAATGGCCAGCCTGGCAACCCGCTGCTGGGGAACACAGCCCTTTCTGGGCAGCCTCGGCACCAGGCACCACCAGCATGAGTCACCGGGGGATGGAGTAACTGGAGGGGCTCTTCCATCACAGGCCACATTCAGATAGAGCTGGATGTTTGCCCTACTGGTATCAAGAATCCCTTTCTGGCCTGTGTCCCCACAAGTCTAACTGTGTTGTTGGGGAAAGGAGGCCCTGTCTTGGTGCCCAGTTCACAGGGAACTCTTCTCAGGAGACCCAGGCACTTCTTGAAGCAGAATCCCCAACTAGCTCTGGGAAGACAATGCCCATTTCTTCCTTATAATGAGAAAACCTCTTCAGGGTTCTCCTACACAGTGAGTCTATATCTAGAGCTCCCAGGACTGAGGACTCTTCCTAGGGCTTGGCCTTCCCTGCCTTTGGCTCCCAAGCTGTCCAAAGCTAGCCTACAAGTGGGTGTCTGTTCAAATATACTCCAGGAGCCTGGGATTGCTTCCTAGGCCCTGTCCCCATATGTACAGGGCACCTTCTCAGCCTCTTGGGAACCCTGGGACCTGGCTAGGGGGGTCAGGACCCAGTGTCAGGCAGCAGAGTCCTCTGAGGAAGGTATACTCCTCTATGGCCAATACCACAAACACCACCACTCCCCACCTCAGCTTTGGGCTTTCACAGAGCCCCTAGTCCAGCCTATTCATCACCTCTGTGAAGGGGTCCCTGTCAAGGCTTGAGTAATAAGAAAACTCTTAAGTGGTGAAAGATGGGGTACACAGGACAAGACAGGGATGCCTGGCTTCTCAGTTCCTGGATTTTCAGAAGCTGTTGCTTCTGAAGTAACCACTAGGGAGTATCCTCGTCAGCGAGATCCTCGTCAGCAGGCAGAGAAGGTGTTTCTGGGGTGGAAAGATATACCTTCCCTATACAGGTGGTGGTCTGAGGGCAGTTGAAGGACCTGGAAAGGACCCCTGGGTAGTGAGGACCTCTAGTCCAGGATCTTGCCTTGCAGGGGTACTTCCTCATAGGAAGCCCTTCTAGAGGCTTTCTGTAGAAATAATAGGGGTGCTGACCTGAGTCTGTTGAACCACAGAGCAGCCTCAGCTGCCATGGGCCTCAAGTTGGCCATTGCTACCAATGTCTCTGACTCTTTAGATGTGTTCAAGAGGGTTGCAGAAATCTGGTCATTCTCTTCAGACACCAGTCTCTTGTTTCTTTCTCAGGTCTCTCTGTGCTGATGCTGTTGAAAGTCTAGGCCTGTCAGTTCTTTGTACCCTGAGCAGGTCACTGGACCCAGGAAATCTCTTGGGAGCAGGCAGTGTGCTCTCTGCCTAGAGGGGCCTGGATTGCCGGTCAGCCACAAGGATTCTGCCTGTTCCAGGAAATCAGAGGCCAGCAGCAACACTGCTACAGCCCTGCTCTGGGCACATTCCAGATGTTTGTTTACAGGCAGGCACCAGCTTGCCTGGTGGGGACATCTGTAACCTGCAGCACAGTTACTTCCCTTTGTTGGGGACAAGTCATCCTTAAAGCCTCTTCTCAGTTGTCACTTTGTGTTTTCCAAGGGGCTGGAGGTTGTGGGATAAACATTCTCCAGGTGACCCCAAATGAGCACCACATCTGCCCACCCCCACCTCCTCATGGCTCTGGCCTGGACTGAGTAGGAGTAAGCCATGGGGACAGATGTTCCTGCGGTTGTTCAGACAAGTTATGGATATTCATTCTCTTACATGTCCTTTATACACTGGCCAGCCAACTTCCCAAGGCTAGGTGGAGGAGCTGAGGAGCAGGAAGGTGCCTCTCATCACAGTGGCCTGATCCTTACCTGGTTACCGAAGACTCATCAGAGCAGATGGAGCCTTGACCACAAAGCCACAGGGTCCACTAGCTCAATGATTATCGGGAAGAAAAAAAAAAAAAGTCTACAGGTCCTGTCTATCCCCCAACAGAGGTCAGAACCCCGAGTTTCCCAGCAGGCGTCTGAGGTGGTCACACTGCACTGCCATATGTAGCCACTAGAGGGCCATGCAGAAGCAAGAATAGTTGCTTCAGACACTGGGACACCTGAAGACTAAGATGCATGCTGGATCTTGCTCCATTCAAGGCCTGCAGGGTTAGGCCACTTTCCCCTGGAGCATGTGACTGTTAGTCTTACCCAAGACTCAGGAAGTAGAGCCTGAAGGAGGAGCTCCAGGGGCATGTGTGCCATAGGTGAATGGAACTGGGTGGGTTCCACAGTCAGGAACAGAGGCTGCCTCCAAGAGTCCTCACATGTCCAGATTCCTGGATCTCTGGGATGTTTGGGTGGGTACACACAGAACCCTGACCTTCCCATGGGTTCCCAGAAATCTTGCCAGGACTCTCCAGACCTAGAGCCTGTTCCTAGGAATAATGGGCTACATTAGCCCAGGGAGCTGCTTTGCTGAGCCTCCTCAGCAGCATACAGATGTCAGAAGAATCCCAACAGGCCTTGCTGACTAGCTGTGGCATGTAAGGAACACCAAGCGACTCGTATACTCAGCAGAAGCTGACAAATCTCAGGCTAGACAAATCTAGACCCTGCTTTCTACATGTAGGGACTGGCCTTGCTTCCTTCTGACCTGTATCCAGACATAATGGACACCCTCGATACCTTAGCCAAGTTACTTTCTGACTCGACACAGTGTTGGCAGGAATCCATGCATTTACTCTGGAGGGTACCCAGTACCCAATCCTGGTCCAGGGAGGCCAAAGATCTCTGGGCCTCCTCATCTGGTAGTATGGTGGTCACAGTAAGTAGGCAGTAGGTAAGCTCAGCCCAACCCCGAGGCTCCTATACCTCTTCTTCCACAAGCATAGACAGGTCACACCAGACACTCAGGCACATAGACCCATTACAGACAGTCCTACAGTCCTACACACACACACACACACACACACACACACACACACACACACACACACACACACACACACAATCCCGAGGGCCCCCAGGTGCCTCTCAAGCTTCACCCCTGACCTTGCTTCAGTGTCAGGCCTCTGTTAACTGCGTGGAGACTGACCAAGCTGAGCCTTTTGCAAGATGGAAAGTCTAGGTTAACAGTAGTCCACAATAAAAGTTGGTATAGAGCTTCAAGAAATTTGTTTAAAATTTAACACATAGTAACATCAAAACAAACAAGCGCTGCCATGGTGACAGGGACCTAAACAAAGGCTGCAGATACCCCAGCTGGCGCCACGCCTGCAGAGCCATGGCAACCTGCCCCAAAACAGAAATAGTTGAACTTTTTTTTCTCTCAAGTCCTGTCAGAGTCAGCAACTTCCTGGAGGTACCTAAGCAATTTCCTCCCAGGCCCCAAATTCCCAGAGGAGGCAAAGGCCTCTGCAGCTGCCATTGCTGTCCCTCAGGGACCACAAACACCCAGCTCTCATAATACAAGCAGTGCCACCACAGCCACAATTTTCCTGGAAATCTCAACCCCAGAGTTCCCCAGCCCTTCTTGTGAAGCCCTTTCAGTATTCTCCCACCACCCTGGTACTCAGAATACTGTCCCCTTACACTTGAGGACAGCATGAGTCCGAGTCCAAATCTTCTGTTCACACATGCCTGAGAGGCGAGGCTCTTCCTCAAGAATAGAGATGTTCCAAGTGGGACATAGGTCATAACCTCAATAGAGTTCAGGTTCTGAGAGGGAAGGAGAATTCAAAGATGGTAGAGGTGAGAGGATGGCAGCCTCTACATTCTCAAGGATCCAGGTGTGAGGGCAAAAGGAACATCAGAATTTCTGGGCCTCTACTTAGTGCAGGATCCTCACCTGAGCTCCCCCAGCCACCCAGCTAGACACCTGCCCCAGTGTGTACCCACAGTGTCAGCAAGCACAGCCGGCACAGAATACAGCACTTAGAGCTTGTCTGTCTAGACCATCACAGCCTTGAGCCTTCTTTGGGCTTCTGCATACACTTGCTTTCCAGGACTTTGACTTGCAAGGCAGGGAGGGACCCTCCAAGGTTTCCAGGCAGCCCAGAGTCTACAGTGAAGAATGGCTGTGTCCTGGAGTCTGAGCATCTCAAGTTCTACATTCTGGGAATAAGCATTCCCTTCACATGGCTCACTCATATGGGTCTAGTGTCCCACCCCCACCCCCACCCGTGTGCCACATGTCAGGAAGGACATGTGGAGCTGGAGTTCTCAGTCCTCTGTGGCCCACATCATCCAAAAGGCCCATGACCGCATAGTACCACCCACTGAGAGGCTGTAAAAACACAAGTCCTACATGGGGTGGGGTGCACATATAAAGGCACATAACAGCTGGAAGGTAGCCTTCTTCAGAAGAAAATGGAGAAGCTGACTAACCTCTGGGCAGGCCACTTCTTCCTACCTTCCAACAATCCCTTCTAGAAGATTCCTCAGACAAAAGTCTCTGGGTCTCCAAGTGGGTGTCTTAAAAGACACCCCATGTGTTCTCAGTGTAGGAACAGCTTCTAGGGGTTCTAGCAAGCTCAGGGTTGGGTCTGTAAGGGACACCTGCTGGTGGAGAAGGAATATGGGGAAAGATAAGGTGAGGAGCTGTCCAAGTTATTGCCAGCTTAGACATGGTAGTGAGCTCCATAAAGCAATCAGCTTTAACTGTTGCACATGCTAGACACAGCTAACTTAGTTTTTCTAGGTCTCAGTGTTGCAGGGCATGTCTACAGGCCTAATACAAGCTCTTGACACCATGATGAGAAAATTGTCTCTATCAGAGGCTCTAGTGCTGATCATTTTTGCAGCCTGGGTCAGTGCCCCTCACTCATGGCTGGCCAACCTACCAGAGCACCTCTGTTTACTAGGACCTACCTGTCTGTCCCTGCCTGGAATTTCCAGTGGAACCCATAAGGCCAGTTTCTCTGAGGAGGCTGCACATTTCTTAGCAGGTGACAGCCGGGACAGGCCATGTGATGAGCACAGTAAGCTCTACCAAGTCTGGGAAAGCCCCCACAGACAAGGCCCATGGTGGTGTCAGTACCCAAACTCAGGGGCAGTCACTTTGGTGAAGTTTAGAGAATCTCAGGGACTATAAGCAACAAGATTTCTCGGTCACCTGTGGAGGAGCAGCAGCAGTATGGAGGTCCTTTGAGCTGATAGACATCTTGCTGCATACATATGCCTGTGTTTATGACCTGTTCTATCTCCAATGAGTATGCAGTCCTATTTAGGGACTTGGGGGAAAAGCCATATTCTGACCTTTTGTCTTGGGTCCTTCTTATAAAAGCAATAGAATGAATATATGATGTTCAGTAGACCCTCCTCTGCGGGAGTCACATAGGGGCCAGTGCTACTCAACAGCATTGCACATAGAAGAAGCTGTGGAGAAAGAAGGTTTAGAAACCCAAGAACCACAGTCTAGAAGTTCATAGGATCCCTGGCCAATTGCCTCCCAGATAGGCTTGGGAGGAACTGGTGCCAGGATTATCACAGTGGAACCTGGCCAGAATAGAGATGAGAACTTTCACAGTGAGCATCAGGGTAAAGTGATCACATCTGAGCCACTGGCCATAATTTTTTCTCACATCCTAACTCACAACAATTGAACTTCAGGACAAGGTAGGTCTGAGTCATCATAGGAACAGGATCTGAGGTGGATGGGAAAGGGGAACTAGGGGTAACTCTGTACACACAGCATCTGCATTCAGAGATTGAGGCTGCATGGAGAGTCTTTTCTTCAGCTTCTCATTGGAGTTGAAAGCCACAAGGAAACAGAGCAAGCATAATGGACCAGCTCAGACTTCTCTTTGGAGTCCTCTGGGGTCAGTGGGGCCTGAAGAAGGTCAGGATGCAGAGCCCCTTTGGGATACGTTTCTCAGCCTTTCCAGTACAACTTTTCAAATCTAAGGTACTTCAGACACACTCTCATGTACTATGTACAATAGGAAGTTCATCAGGGGGCATGGGATTCAGATTTTCTTGCTTTGTAGAATCTCAAACTCCCAGTACACAGCAAAGTTTATATCAGCATTGGGATGGGTGGAGACAGCTAGGCTCCGGCTCAGTAATTTCCACAGAGCCCCTTCCTAGGGGCCAGGACCTTGAAAATTCTGGCTCAGCCTTCTTTCATCTCTCTCAACCAGGATCTTGGGGAATCTGGCTTCATCTGGAACAGAAAGATATCAGTATCCCAATCCCCTGGTCACAGTGCCCTGCATCTAGTAATGGCTTACTTCACCTCTTCCCACTGGGACACGGGTTAAATCTCTCCATCTTGCCAGGAATGTCTAAATTCCTGGCATGAAATACTTGTTGGAGCTCTCATGAACCATCTGCCAGGCCACCTATACCTTTCTGCCTGTTGCTCAGAGACTCCTCCAGGCACAAGTGCACAACCTGGGGGCAGGGAAGCCTTACTATGCCTAGAGAACACCAACAATTCCACAATCAAAATGGTGATCAACAACCACAGTTACGAACACCACATCACCCATCCAAAGCCAGAGGAGGAAGTAATGCTCAGCTAGTAGCACCCACAGAGATCAACCACAGGACCTGACAGCACATAGATGTTTGACAACACAGGAGATGAATGGCCATTCTCTGATCTGTATCAATTTGTCAGCACGTGTGAGCATTTCTCAAGTGAAAAATCAACAGAGATGGACAAGGAACTGGAAGAGAGTGTCATGAGTCACTGCCATATCCTGGAAACAAGGCCAAACAGGCCTGGCCCCCACACTAACCTCATAGACTCAGCCCACGGTGACTGGGTCTCTGTTCACCTAAGCAGATCCTGATCATGTCTAGGAACAGCTTGCTAACCTGGCTATTGGTTAGAGTTAACTAAGTTTTCTCAAGTCCAGAAAGCCCCCACCCAAGGCCTAACAGACTGAAGCTAAGACCACAGTTCAGGACATAGCCAAGGAGTTCCAAGGCACTTGGGGCCAATGTACTCCCCAGACCGTCCCAGACACTTCTGGAGGCTTGAAGCTAAGAAGTGGGCACAGAATCTGCAAGCAAGATACTTCAGGGACCCTCACAGCTACTGCTATGAGCTGTGCTACCTAAGCCTGCATGTCACTTACTTGATCTTGCTGAAGACAATGTCCACGTCAGTGACGGTCACATTCTTCCCATCGATCACGTGGCAGTCCTTGCACAGTTTCGACCAGTTCTTGCCGTGCATCTCCTTCCCTGTTGCCCTGGTGTCCCCATGTACGGCAAACCTCCGGAAGGCCTCCTCCAGAGCACTGAGCTCAGGGGCTGCAGCTGCCCCCTCATTTGCACCCTCTGACTCCAGTGACAGCCTCTTAGCAGCCTTGTCCTTGGCTGGGTCTCCTGGGGACTTGGGTGGTGTCTTGTTGGCAGATTTGGCAGGCTTGGCCTTGCTGTCAGCCATGTTGCTAGGGAAGAAGAAGAAAAGGGTCATTCTGCTTCTCACAGCCCATCTGTGTCCCTGGTTCTAGCTGCAGTATGTGGTACCAGGCAACAAGATATGGCAAGAGCTATGCCGGGCAGCGGCGGTGGCGCACACCTTTAATCCCAGCATTCGGGAGGCAGAGCCAAGGCAGATCTCTGCGAGTTTAAGGCCAGCCTGGTCTACAGAGTGAGTTCCAGGACAGGCCTAAAAACTACACAGAGAAACCCTGTCTCAAAAAAGCCAAAAAAAAAAAAAAAAAAAAAAAGATATGGCAAGAGCTGAAGAACATGCTTTCTGGGGCTGGGACCCCTCTGAGTTCCCAGCAGGTCAGTGTTGGACCTAGAACTGACCCTGCCAGCCTGACATATGCAGGCTCTGGGCAAAGGAGACAGGGCCTGACTCAGCAACAGTGGGTTCTACCTTGATCCTCTCAGCTGCATTTCCATAGCCTCCTCCCTGGGCCTCGCCTGCTGTGGGTGACTGCCTGGACGGATGCTTAGGGTCTATAAAATGATGCCATCCTTAGGACCCAGGCCAGTCATGTCATGCTTGCTGTCCCTCTGACCTGAGTCTTCTGATCAGAAGATGAGCCATGCCCAGGTGGTGAGTGACCCTGGAGACACACAATAAGGGCCCACCCTGGGATTCTAGAACATGCAGTTGGTCCTTGGGCTCAGAGGAGGGAACCCTTAGGGAAGCCCTCTTTGGGTTTTTAGGGCTGTTGATTCTCAAGACAGGCAGACATCCCTGAAGGCTAAGAAGACTGAGGAGATGGTGTCACCTCCCAGCAAGATGCAGGAGCACGGCCGGGCGGTGGTGGCGCACGCCTTTAATCCCAGCACTCGGGAGGCAGAGGCAGGCGGATCTCTGTGAGTTCGAGGCCAGCCTGGACTACCAAGTGAGTTCAAGGAAAGGCGCAAAGCTACACAGAGAAACCCTGTCTCGAAAAACCAAAAAAAAAAAAAAAAAAAAAAAAAAAAAAAAAAAGATGCAGGAGCACAAGGATAAGCAGATGATCCCAACATGGCCACTGTTGTTCCAGTAAGGGCAGGCACATGCCATTTCCAGCTTGGGAAACAAAGATGATGAGCTCCCAGTTAGCATCTCTCTGGGAACTGAGTGCTTAACAGCTCAATGCAAGAAGAGCTCCTGGTACAGGCACACACTCCATAGAGGGTCGGTGACAAAGTTGAAATGTGCAGGCCCTGTCCAGACTGGAGATCTCAATGTCAATGTGACCTAGGCATATCTCACCCTAAGGGATGTGAAATGTGGCCCCTGCTGAGCTCACAATGGTATGAGTTCCATAAACAGCCAGAATGACACAGATAACAGTCAGTCACAGGGCCAGGTCCCCTTCTTGCTCACCCCCTTTGAAAATGGTAATAAAAGCATAGCAGAAAAGCTCAGCCTTTTTGATGAGAGACTCTTCTTAAGGTACTCCAATGCACCCCCAAATGGAACTTCTTGGGGGCCCCAAACAGGGCAGATGAGGACAGCAAAGGTTAGATGGGAAGCTCGAGCTAAGTGTGACGCTCAGGAGTTCCTGTATCCCCACAAGACATGACTCATGGTGAATCAACTCCATCTACCTGATCGGTTACCTGAGCTTCTGCCCTGGGCCCTCACAGGATATTGAAACAGGAGATGGGCTCTGCCCTTCTGAGGACTGCAGGACACTAAGGCAGGTCAGATCCTGGCAAGCAACAAATTCAAGTCAAGTGAAAGAACTCTGAGCAAACCAGCAGCAGGGTAATGGCACATTAGGAAAGTGATGGCATATGTCTCCCACTGATGTGGCCACTCCTCATCAGACAGGTGTCAACTGTGTTCTGTCCAGGTTCCTACAGCACAATGCCCCCACAAGATAGTGAACAGGTACCAGAGTGGGGAGGGTCCTCGTGGGAAAGAGTCAGAACCACAGGGGTAGCGGACGACCCTCACTTGCAGCCCCAACACTGTTCATTTGCTGTAGGAAAAAGGCTTCTGGGCAGGACTCCTACCCACATCCAGGAGATTAGGGATTGCAGAGGGAGCTCAGAGAGAGTATTAGTTGCTGTGACACTCTATGAAGATGAGTGATCATGACTCAGGAGTCGGGGCAGCAGTGAAGGCTGAAAGGCATCTGCACAAAACAAGAGGAGCATGAAGTAACATCCAAGTTGCTGCTAGTCTGGAAAGCAGAACCCATCTCAACTCAACCCTGGAATAAGACATCTGGGAGCTTTTTTGGACCCTGTGGCAAAGCAGCTGACATCTATGTTTCACTGAGTAGCTGACAGCATGGTCACACTATTTTATAGCCCCAGTGCCAAGATTTTTCAGCAGGATCAGCCCAGTATGAGATCTACATAGCAACCACTGAAGAGCACCAGCAACACACTTGCACAAAGGATAGGCTGAAACAGGAGGGTTGAGACCCTTCCCTGGGTGGTGCTCAGGATGCACCTTGGCGCTGTAGTCAGGCCTCCAGACTTGGCTTCCATCTTTGATGTGTTTTACCCTTAACATGTATTACCTGAATAGCACATCATAAAAAGGTCTTTAAAGTAAAAGCAGCAGTGGGTTGGGTCCTAACTTTGTGGCTACACAAAGACCACTAGACTATTACTTGTTCTGTGAAAGAAAGAGGAAGGGTCCTGTGCTATCAGAGCACACCCAGGCGTGGGCTGTGAGGACACAGAGCTCTTACCCAGGGGCTGTCTTTTCCAGTGTGAACTATTCCATTAGCTCACAGTGTAGCAGTGAGAAAAAAAAATATGAATCTAAAGAGAATCAAAGCTGCACCCAAGGTATCCTGGAATAGGGAGGTACCTACAGGCCTAATTCACTCCTCCAGTGTTGTGGGATGGCCAGATGCAGCCTTTGCCCACCTCCATTCAAAGGCCCTGGCCTCCTGGTTTTCCTCTCCACAGCATCTGAGGCAAAGTTAAAATTTAAAGAGACCTTAGTGTGTCCCACTAAAATTTCCACCAGGGAAGTCAGGCTTTAGAAGAGGTTCCAGGAAGGCACCTGATCCACCAAATATGGTGGTAAAGGGATGATAACCTCTCAGGTGTGAGTCCTGTACCTCAAATACGTACCCTAGATATGCATTGTGTCCCTAGGATATGCCTTTCTTGATAGCCTGTAATTCATTGTCTCTCAGCCAGAAGGATGTACGCCAAACTTCATCCTATGGAGTCTGCCTATCAGCAGGTGTTCTTTCCTGGACCAGCCTCCTTCAGCAGTGATTGCCCTGGGAGCCAAGAGAGAAGGTATTGTGGAGGAGGGGAGTGGCGCCAGCTGGTGACCCAGCGATGGCTGCTTACGTTCCCTGTGGGGCCAGGAGGGCAGGAGATGGTAACTTATCCACAGCAGCACTGAGTGTAGGGACAGACTATGTTACCAGATTTGCATCTTCAGACCAGGCCTGAGAAGGGCAGGGGAGGCCAGCTAGAGGTAGAATTACAGATCTTGCAGTGGGAGGGAACATGGTCAGATGCCAGAGACAGGACTTTCTGCAAACCCTGAGGGCCCCCTTAGCTCAGGCAGGGTTTCTTGCATCCCATATACCCCAAGTCTTCCTTGCCAACTCCAAAGGATTGACTTGTTCCCAACAAAGCCCATAGGAAATCAACTGAACCCCATTTTTCAGAATGAAAAATACTGAAGCAAATCCTAAAAATAAAATAAACCAATTTCTTGAAGAAAACTATAACAGTATATTTGGAAAAAAGATCAGTTGGTGCTGAGTAGGTGAATTTGATTCCTAGAACCCATGTTTTAAAAAAACAGGCATGGTGGTATGTATTTATATAATCCCCCATACACTGGGGAGATGGAGACATGGCAATAGCCAGCCAGCCTAGCCTAATTAGTGAGTTCTGAGAAATTACAGTGAGGTTGCTTTCTGGCTGCCACATGTACACACACACACACACACACACACACACACACACACACACACCCATACATGGTACACCTGAGCACACACCAACATGTACACATGTACCTCCACCATCAAAAAAGAAAAATCTAAAGGTGACAGAGGAGAGACTTTGTCACTAAGTCCCACTGTTACATAACTCAGGGCACAGCCCCGTACAGGGGGAGTAGAAATGAGGGGATCAGTAAATTTTCTGTAAGCAGGGCAAGGAGCCTACTGCTACAACCAGATGCCTACAAGGAAAAGGTGTCCGCAAGCAGAGAAGGCATCTGTGAATGTGATGAGTGTCCATGAATAAAGTAGGTGTCATGACTAGGACAGGTGCCTGTGCGTGGACAGGTATCTGTGTTGGGGGGAAGCGTCTGTAAACAGAAGAGAATGTGGAAAGGAAGAAGAAAGCACTTCTGCCTCTCTGGAGAATCCCCACAGGAGCACACAGGGCAGATATAGCTCTTTCTTTAGAATGTTCCATGAACGCCATTTCATCCTGGTCACTGGAGGCTGATAGAGCATGGAGAATCATAGGGCACGAAATAAGCAATCTCCAGATAAATCTAGGGAGACGAGACTTCTATCCACTTGTAAGACACATGCCACTCAATCCCTGACCACCAGACAAGCTGTTTTCAGTTCCACAGGCCTCAGCAGCAAAAGTGAGGCCAGGGACAGCTAATTAGAAACTGTGCCCTGGAGTTCAAGAGAGAGAAGTCTGTCTAAGATGAGAAGAAGAAGAAATGGATAATATCCACTTGGAGCTCACTTCCTCCTCCTCACTACATCCCACCAAGGCTTGAATCCTATGGGACCCCATGTAAAACCAGGGTGAGGCTGACTGTGTGGGATCTAGACACATCCAGCTAGCCCTAGAGAGTGCTCATCTGAGGATGGGTCACAGGCAGCCTGCCCTATACAAGCTCTGTACTTTAGAGTGTACTTATACACAACACATCCTTTGATAATTGTTTGTTTCATTAATAATACAGCCATACACCCTGCTTCTCATCAGGCTACTCCACGTGAGTGGCCTCTTATCTCAATGGGAACTTCTATCCTGTGCAAAATGAACTCCCACAAAGTGGACATTTTCTGAATGTGTATATCCTGCAGACACACAGAGGCAATACCAGAAGCCCAAATCTATCAGGAAACCCAGCCAGGCCCCTTATCATCCATGTCACATCTACACAGTGCATCTAGAAGCCTACAGCCCAGAGTATGACTAGGGCTGACCAGGTGGTACACAGTCTCAGTCACTGCTCCAGAACAGTCACCAGGATTGGAGTCCCAAGGCCAGGCTGCTGCCTACAGGGTGACCTGAGAACCAAACCCTGTGCTTCTCACTGTGTCTAGGTCAAACAGAACACAATTCTCCTGGCTGTTGTAGGGAAAGGGGAGCCCAGCATCCATATCCACTCATTTCCTATACCCGAGGCCTGAGCAGTACTATAGGCAGAGCAGGACTATGTGCTCCAGAAAACCCCACACTTTTAGGAAGGAGGTATCTTGGGCAAGGAGAATGGGAAACCACAGAAGATAAGAAACTGAGGAAAGTCCTAGACCCCTCTATCCACCTGTGTCCTTCTTTGTATTCAACATCTATGGCAACAGAAGTGGGTCCAGAACTCCCCAAAGTCACTGGCTGCTCTATCCAGCTACCCACTGTCCCTACCTTCCTAGGATTCACATGTCAGGCCTTGCTTACAATGTTGCCTTGATTGCCCCTCAATAGGGAATACAAGGGTACAACCACTTTCAGGAGTGACCATTTGAACTTCTGGCTTACAGTTCTAGAACAAGAGAATGAGGATAGCCACCATTCTTGGTTATGGGGGTCACAGAAATACCTTCTTAAAAAAAAAACTAACGAATGCAACAAACCCCTGTCATTAAGTGGAAGCCTAAGATTGAGCATAAAGAAGAACCATGAGACATTCCAGAGTGTCTACCTTCCTTAAGGCATCCCCACTGTCCAGCCAGAGACCAGGTTTCCCCAGAACCCTGGATGACTGGAGAAATGTGAGTGGAGAGTAAGAGAGTGGTAGGCCCCTCATATCCAGCATTTAGTATGAGATCCAGGCTCTAGAAAATTGTCTAAGGCCAGTAGTGGGTACTGAAATCAAATTCCATCACACATCATCTAATCAAACACCCTTTCTAAACCATCCTCTAAAATATTTGCCAATACAGCATTCCACACGAGTCCAAATGGATAAAAATCAAGATCAAGAGATGCGATTATGTGGGTCCATGTTCTGGGGTTAAGTTACAGCAGAGATGCTATATGACCATTCCTTCAAGTGTCTACCTCACAGTTGCATGCCAAGGTCTGCCACCATGCTCTCTTTAGAAGCTCCATGGGGCAGGTCCTGAGGATGCTGATGAACCAGTAGATGACTGATTCCTAATTCAGCATCAACATGGCTTCATGATCACCAAATAAAACAAGTATCTACACCTTAATGCCAGGACCTCTGCATGCATCCTGGTTTGGAAATAGGGTCTTGACATGAAATCAACCTAGATTATCCACAATTGGAAGGTAAATTGTATGCCAATCCCCACCCTTCTCCCCCTGCAAGACAGAGCCCCTGTCTGCATGCATCTCTCCAAAAGTATGAGGCCTTTGGGGGAGCGATTAAATCTAGTTCCTGGGCTCTCATGAGTGTAGTAAGACCTCCCAAGAGGGCTGTAAGGAATTGGCTGAGGCCTTTCTACCATGTGGTGACCCAGGGTCTAACCTCTCCTCTGGAGTATGTTCCAAGAAGGCACTATCTTGGAAGCAGCCACCCTTATCAGACTGTGACCCTGCAGCACCTTGATCCTGGACTTCAGCCCCCAGAACTGTGAGAAATACATTTCTGTTCTGTATAAATTTCCCATCCTTGTTAGAGTAGCATAGGTAGACTTGAGATAGAATTACAAGAAGACCTCTAGACTGTCAGAGTGTCAAGGCACAAGGCCAGGAATGCCTGAGTAACCTGAAGCTGAGGGGCAGGAAGGACCTACCAGAGCCAGGGCAGGAACACAGCTTACCTGATACATTGAACTTCTGGCTTCCAGAACTGTAGGAGAATGAGTTTATGTCATGTTAAGTCACTCAGTGTGTCATTGTCATCACACAGCTTCTAAACTCTGACCAGAAGAGGAAGCAGGACTCTGAGACAGAGCAACTTAAGCAGAGGCCCCATGAGGGCAAAGCCAAGTGAGGGGTCAGAGGGTCAGATGGGGCTAGACCAAGAGGTCTTGGGAAGTCAACCCAAGTTGAGTTTTGCATGGAACTACATATGGCACTGTCTTCTGTGACACCCATCTCACCTTCAATTGTCATGTGCTGGGGCAGAAAAAGGGAGGTGCACAGACAAGGTGAGCAAAGATGTAGAATAGTCACACGACACACCTACAGGGAACTTGAGGAAGATGAGCTCCTGTGCCCATCTACTACTGTCCACAGCCAAATTCTCATGTGTAGGGAAGATTTGCCACAGTACATACAGTACATACTCCCAAAAGGGAAAGATTCTAAACAGCGCGAGACTGGAATTAAGAACTTCTGCTTATCAAAGAGTATTAAGAGACTAAAAGAGTATTAGAGACAAAGCTCAAATAAGGAAAGATTGTTATATACAACAAACACTGACTTGTCCAATATACAAAAAGCCTCTATAGTCAATAAGAAAAAAGGGAGATTACTCAACAGAACAAGACAGTTCAGGGGAGAGCCAGAGAACACAAGAAATGCCAAGCTTCATTAGTATAATCAGGAAAGTGCAGACACAACCCCAAACCAGATACCAGACACACCTTGCAAGGTGGGGACATTTAAGACTGACCTAGGTAATTGTTGGTGGAATGTGGAGCACAGAGCACCACACGGGAAGGTAACTGGTGAGACATCCCCTGCTCACTAAATCTGAAGGTGCACATAATCTGAGACCCAAAAACTTCAGTTTTTCAGGAGCCTTTCAGTTTGTACGAGAGTCCAAGGCAGCTGTATTCTTGATCTCCCAACAGGGAAGCAACCAAAGACAGTTGAAAGAAGAGGTTCACAGAACAGAAAACTAGAGCTATGAGTGAGTCTGCTTAGACTAAAACTAGTCAAGACAGTCCAATAGGATTGTTGCTGTGTGATTTCATATGTGTAAAGGTCAAAAAACACAGGCAAGTGTTCAGGTATATATGTTCATGAAACTAATAAGACCCTTCCACCCCCACACTTTCCACCACGGGACAAAGGGCAATGGGAATGGTTGCCAGGAGGAAATTGAAACTACAGCACTGAAGCAGGGTCCCTATGGGAGGGACCTTGAGG